GGATCAGCGTCCACACAGGGTACTGTAAAATCATGTGAAACAAAATGTTCTAGATACCGATGTTTAAAAGTATTTTACGCCTTTTCAGACTCCTCTTTTAGATTGTTTAAGTTCATTCATATGACTTCTTTTGCAATGATTTTAATAGGCTTTGGATCATACGTGAAAACAAGCGAACATATTTCTTTACACAAGTTGCGGATAAGATAAAGCATAGCATTGACGATGTGTTTTTGGATTCCTTCATGAAAAAGATCGAAATAGAAACCCCAAAGAACTATATATGATAAGAAGGCCTCTGGACTTTGATAAATTTGCAAAATACCTAAAATGATGATATTTTGAATTAGAAAAAAATGATTTTTCCCCTTAATAAAACAGTTTGTTTTGTCTCATTTTGTTTCTTGATATGACTTCTTTTCCATTGGTGAAAAGAAGAAATTAAAATATATGAAACATTTCAAAAATACTAGTAACTAGTAATTCTTAATTTTTTTGAATAAAGAATTCGGTTAGTCAGTACATGTATATGTTTTAGTTATAGTATATTTCATACTTTACTAGAATCATCTGACGGGCTCTATATGGTAAGATTTTGTGCAAAAAGAAAACATTCATCATTATTTTTGAAATAAAAGAAGGCATAAAATATTGATTGGCAATCAGTATTTTTTTTTTTTTAGATATAATGAACTTCCAGGCTAGGTACGAGGGTTGTCCCGTAAAATCGTGGACAAGTTGTCTAGTGTGAAAAATAAACATCTCTGCGTTCTGAAATTTTCACTATTATTTAGTACATATTTTAGTAATATACACAGCAAATTTCAGATGAATATATGCATAAATAAACAAATTATGAGATTTTATGCCATATATTGTATCACCTTACGGCGCATGGATTATTACGTCAAAGTGTAAACAGCGTCACGTTTTATCTTTGCTGAAAATGAAGTTGGATGAGTCCGACTTAAATTTAGGAATTTCATTGATACACATTCTTTAGTCTCCATAAACAGTCGAAGAACCAATTGGCACCCTCATGCGATCTTCTGAAGATTTATTAGTAAGTTACGGACAATATTCTCACCATCTTTCAACTAATAGAAAATCTCATATCGGCGGTCTACTGTGACCGCGTCTTTTGCTATTACATTAGGAGTTTGTCCGTATGTTTTGTACTCCCCAGGGACTCGATCAAAAAAAACTTCGCTAAGAAAACTCCTATTTCATTTGTATACATAAGATATGGTGATATCTTAATAATCTTTTTTCTTCTATGGTCATTTCAATTCTCTAAAGGTGTCATTACAACATCGAAATAAAACTGAACTGTTCTCCGGTGCGCCGTAACGTCATAAAACGTCGCCATTTTTCGTGTGTTGTGTTTACCACTTTCCCATTTCGAATTCTCGAGAAACTGCCAAAAATTAAGCAAATGCCTTAAAATGTTTACAAAGACTACAAAATTGATTGTGGAATTGAATTAGGATAATTTTAATCCAAATTTTATGTATTTAAAACTTTTTTTTGAATTCAAACTTGTGCATTCTTTAATAAAACCTTGGTTTTTTTGACCGTGCGCCGTAGGACAATACCTCGTGCACATTCAGGCATAATAAAATCTTTATTTTTGCCTATATTTTATCAAAAAAATTAACATGCACTTAAATATGATAAATAAACATTTACTGAAATTTTCAGCTTAGTGCGCCCATTACTTTTCGAGAAAAACTCTTTGTCCACGATTTTACGGGACAACCCTCGTATTTACATAAAATAGTCAACTTTAATCTAATTAGTACCATTACTTTGGAAAACTTTCCTTTTGAATCTCTGAAAATGAAAAATAGTATGAAGAATTCTTCAACAAGCTAAATATTCTTGTGGAAATATATTCTATAACTTTGTACATGCAAAACGGTAGAGTATTCACTACTGAAGAAAATTTTTGAAAGGCACTGTTGTGCTTTAACATCGTTTGAATAGTGTCTTTGTACCTCCTTAAATTGATAAAAGAAAGAACTTACGGTGTGATGGATGTATGATATTGGCGGTATAGAAAACATGGTTCTGTGAAGGATTGGCTGGTGTTGGAGGATTAGCTGTTGCTGTTATAGGAATAAATACAGGATTGTGCGGCCTTATCGAAGTCGAAGGAATGGATGTGGAAAAGGTTGTAGCAGCTAAAAATAATGACATTTATTGCATTTATAATACAGTTAGGGCATTTTTTACGTGTTTGTTTAACCATTGCAGAAAATCCGAGAGAAATTCCTGAAGAGTGTTTAAAAGTATTTTATTCCAGTAAAATAGTTTAAAATGGGTTAATAAATTAGATATTCAAATACCTACAAGATAATCGTTTTGTGATATATTAAAAATCTTGATGAATTGTTACAATATTTATCGTATAATAATCAAATGTATTAAAATTTTTAAAACGCATTCATTGTCAAAATACCAAATTGACTGAACAAGTAAAAAAAAGCACTTGGCTGGGGATCTACCAGAGAAAGAAGGGTATAGGGGTTTTAAACTTACCCCTACAGATCTGTTTCCACAGGAGTCGTGCTGCTGTGAAAGTATCAATGTGATTCAGATCGGTGATCACGTGTTGAGAGCTGGTGGCCATAGTATGAATTTCGCCCCAGTACAACTTACAATTTCCGACAGGCACCACATAGATTGTAACATTCTGGCGTTTAAGGCTGTTTATGGAAATAAACACTAGGCTACCAAAAATGTTACATTCTAGCGTTGAAATGCTAAACATGTACATAGCTATGGTCAGCAAATGGAAAAGTTGAAGATTACAAACAGTGATCGATATAAGTTAAATCTATAAACCATAAAAATATAAGAAGAGGACATAAAACACGAATCCCTGGAAACGTCAGAGGTGGGATCGGGTGCCAAGAAGGAGTAAGCATCCCTTCATTACCAGTAACACCCACTGTGAGTCCTCTATGTATTGATCAGGTACACGAAACAATCCGTAGTAAATACCCCCCAAAATAGAATTGCCTAACAATTGGTATGAAAAAATTCAGTCAAATATGACTCATTGACAGGTTATGTTTCATAACATGGTCATTATAACGACCATAATTTTACCAAAGGTTAATCCAGGTTGTTGAAAACTCTGTAACATCAACTTATCAGTGCCGATCATGCTTTAATTCTAAAATTTCACCTCATTCAGGGAAATCTTTTGATTAGCCAATAAGTTTGGAGACATACAGCCATAAGTTAGTGAAATATTACTACATAAGTAAAGATCAAGATGGAAAAGCTGAAGTCATCTCGTTTGTCATAAAGTTTGCTTGTTAGTTGGACCTTGTCGTCTATATCATGTATACAGTCAGTAAACAACCAGATATGAAAATTTTATTGAAGACTCTGTGACGGTCTTCGTGTCAAGTTCACTGGGATATATCGAGTCTATAACTATATGATTGTTAATTGATAAAATATATCCAGTAGTCGATATACATGTGTATGAATGTCGAATAAAAGATCATAGCAAGAATTTTCTTCTTCTCATGTAGAAGTTTTTGAATAAATTGTACTTCATGGGAATATAAAAACAAGTCAGCTAATAAATCAGGAGAGTTAGTGTCCCATTGATTCAAACAGTTTCTTGGAAGACCTGGTCTTCAAAATAGTACAGAAATGTTGTGAATATGAAATCCAGCATCCTTTTAATATCATTATCAACTTTTCAGAAGTTGTGTGTTAGTGACAAGCAGAGTGGTTCTTAACGAAGTAATTTTGCTGATGAACAATCACAAGATATGAAAATTTACGAGGTCAATTTTTCATTGAATAAGCAGTTGTCTGTGATATAAAAGAAATCTAAATTTTAATTTATAGCGAGGAATAATGAACTGTAGAAAAAAAATTAAAGCAAATGAAGTAATTGAAGATGGAAACACCTATCTCCTATCTGCGTTACACAATGTTTTCCTAAAAAATACATACTTGTAGATCTCCGTTATGGTTTCTTCTGGAATGGACGACCCACCATCTGTCATGACGACCAGAACGTTTTCCGCTGCCGGTCGGTCACCGTTCTCTTTTGTAAACATATGCGTTCTTACATGCGTCAAGGCATTGTGTGTGTCTGTCGCTCCACCGCGATAGGACATATAGGTCTACAATTTTTCATTTATTTATTATCATCTTTTCATTGATTGTAACTGTAAAATACTTATGCATCATTATAAGCAAATTTAATTATTATTTAATTTGAATTAATGAATATTACCTTTCAAAGGAATATGATATTAATAGATAAATGCTCATAATCGACTTAAACTGTTTATTTGAATAATGGTGGTATTAGAATACTGTATCAATTATTTTCATTATCATTTTGTTTTTAAAAAAAAATTATTTCCTTCTGTCTTGAGAAAGAAATCTTACTTCTATTCAAAAAATGTGTTTGTAAATCACTGATATATCCAATTGACAGCAAAGGGGCAAAGGTAAAAAAAAAATGCTCAATCCAAGACAAACTTAAAGGTTAAGCTCAAGAGATTAAAAAAAATATTGCTACCCAGAAAGGACTTGTTTTAATGAGTATATCTTTAATAAAATAAAACCCAAGCCCAAACCGTTAAATAATTACGTCAAGGTTAATTTTTCTAAGGGTAGCTAAAACTCTCAGGTAACAAATTTCAAATAAGTGGTACTACAAAGAGAAAACTTTCTGCACAGAAGAAATCCACCTGTGAACTATGAAAACCCTTGAACTACTTGATCATACATTATGAGTAAGGTTAAAGCTTTTTAAGTTTTTCAAACTCTAAGTCGTGGTGAAAAAGGTAAAACATATACTCACCGTCAATAGAAACGCAACACCCTAATTTAAGGGT